GCCCTTCTGGTTTCAGGACTCATTACTTTCTTAAAATGATAATAATCAGTTTTGTTCTTCAGATGACAACTGATAATGTTTTAAAAATAAATAAGTTAACATTTTGCTATAATATGTTGGTAGGATGAGGGTTAAATGGTGGAAATACCACAGAACAATTTGTGAATGTCGAGAAAACTTTCAAAATCATGACATTGTTTGTTTTTATAACTTTGAAGAAAAGTACAATTAAATTCAATAGCGCAAGTTTCACTTCAACATTGATGGGGACACATATACAGAGGAGGGGGGGGGGGGGGGTGAGTTGACCGATTAGTCACCTAATCGGTTGTATTGCTCTTAGTTGATTAGTCATGTTTTTATACCTTTTTCATGCTGAATGACTGGAGAAACTCAGTTTTACAGATATATCTTTCAAATCAACTAATCAATTTGTCAACTGATGTGTTAGTACTTAGACTAAGAATTTCCCTCTGAGCAAAGGGTCAATTATGTCAATAGAGAGTGTGTCTCCTATTACTATGAAGTATGCCATTGCAGCAGAAATAACTTGTTCAAATACTGTATATTAGACCTTAAATTGTATTTATAAATATATCGAAGTGTTCGTTGAGATTGTGCTACATTGAGAAGAAATAATAATAAATGTCATACAACCAAAGAGATGTCATGTTATGTCCAGTTCACTGCCTTATGATCATCTGCCTGCATGCAGACTCTCAGGGCACAAATGAGAGCCAATGTAGCCAAGAACATGCGGCCAGTCTCAACACGGCTTGCACTTGTTGCTCTCCCAGCCCGGTCTAGGCTTGGCGTTCACCTTGTACCTGGCTGGCTGGAGGACCACACCAAACTTGCCCTCCAGACTGGGCAGGGAGTGGCCTGGTGGGACAGAGAGGGTGAAGTGCTGTAGGATCCATGACAGGAAGAGGAAGAGCTCCATCTTGGCCAAGGCCTCGCCCAGACACACCCTAACCCCGGCACCAAAAGGCAGGTAGCTGGAGGACGGGATGATCAGACCTGTGCCTTCACTGTTCAAGAACCGACCTGCAGAAGAACAAGATGGAATCAGAATCAACACACGGACCAGCAAAACTACAAACCTCGCAATTAGGTTTCAAACGATGATGGTCATGGAGCTAAACTGCTGACAACCTCTGAACCCACTGGCTATCGATCAGTAGTGTGCCTGGGCTTTTTATTGTTATTTCATTTCTTGGGTTACTTGCTACTCAAGTAATCTTTTTAGAAATACTTTTGTACTGTTACTTAAGTAGTTATTTTATTTTATATTATTTTTACTTCTACTTGAATACTTGTTTTTTCAAAGTAACAGTACTTTTACTTGAGTACAGTTTTTGTCTTCGCTACCCACCACTGGATGTTACAGACCTCCTTCTGCACTAAAAGATACAGTACATTGTCTTCACTGTCAGAATCTTTGGTGAATAGCGGGTCTTCCTTCAATCAAAGGATCGGCGGTTTGATCCCCGCCTTCAATAATCCATGTGGATGTGTCCTGTAGGCAGTGTATGAATGGATATGAATGTTAGATAGTCCTGATGGAGTGGTAATAGGACTAGAAAAGCGCTATACAAGTACAAGTCCATTGGACAGGATTTATGGACAGAATTTTCAAGGCGCAGTGTCTGCTTTGGGGACCTCAGACTTGCGTCCCTGCTCTTTGCAGATGATGTGGTTCTGTTGAATCCTTCAGAATGTGACCTTCAGCACGCTCTTGGCCGGTTTGCTGCCGAGTGTGAAGTGGTCGGGATGAGAGTCAGTAGTTCCAAGTCTGAGGCCATGGGTCTCTGCAGGAAAATGGTGGATTGCACTTTGGGTTGGAAATGAGTCACTGCCCCAAGAGAGGGAGTTCATGTATCTCGGAGTCTCATTCCAGAGTGGGGGTAAAACTGAGCGTGAGATGGACAGGAGGTTCGGTGTGATGTCAGCAGTGATGCAGGAGTTGTACCGGACCGTTGTGGTTAAGAGGGAGCTGAGCTGGAAGGCAAAGCTCCACATATGTTCCGACCTACACCTATGGTCATGAGCTTGGGTAGTGACCAAAAGACTGAGCTCACCGAAAAGAGCTTCCTTTGTAGTGTGGCTGGGGGCAGCCTTAGAGCTAAGGAGAGGAGCTCAGATATCCGGATGGAGCTCGGAGTCGAAAGTGATCAGCTGAGGTTATTCGGGCATCTAATTAGGATGCCTCCTGGACTCCTCCCTTTAGAGGTTTTCGGCCACATCCAACTGGTAAGAGGCCTCGAGGTAGACCCAGAACATGCTGGAGGGATTATATATCTTGGCTTGCCTGGGAATGCCTCTGGGTTCCCCAGGAAGAGCTGGAAAACATTGCTGGGGAGAGGGTCATCTAAAATACCCTTCTAAGCCTGCTGCCCCCGCGACCCAACCCCACGTAAGTGGATGGTAAATGGATAGATGGATGGATGGATGATCCAATGAATGGTTAATTTTCCCATTCTACATAACAGAGATGACTTATTCCTTTGTATCATCATTAATCCATATTCATGAAAAGGCTACAATAGGCCTTTCTTCGCAGCAGACATGAGAAAAAAATGACATTACATTTCAGTAGATCATTTTCCAGGATCAAATATGGTAGACATTAGACAGCAGGATCCTCTCACCGGGGTCAAAGAGCTCAGGGCTTTTCCATTCCTTCTCATCGTGGTGCAGGGACCACAGGTTGATGATGACTCGAGATCCTTTCTTCACTGTGAAGTCCCCGATGCTACAGAGAAGGTCAGACACACAATGTTTGTGGGTTTGCGTGGCTCTGCATTAAAACACATATCTTTGTCATGAGCATGAGTTTCAGACAAGTTATGTCATACCAGTCAGTCATAACTGGTGCTGTATTGATCAGTTATTGATCAATTGCATTGTTTCCATCAGGTCAGAGATGGATAACAGGGATGCTAAATGAGTGTCATGTGTTTAGTGTACCTGGTGTCACTGAGGGCAACATGGGGGATGAGTAGAGGGGCCACAGGGCGGATCCGTATCACCTCCCTGATGGTGGCCTCCAGGTAGGGCAGACTGCCTCTGTCACTGAGCTGGGGGCACCTGTCCCCCCCCACCTTGCTGTCCAGTTCCTCCTGGATACGCCTCTGTACCTAAACACACACACAAACAATCACAAATATCCATGTTCTGCAACAAAAGTACACCTTATTTTAATGCACATGTATTCTTAATATTCAGGTTATTTTTTGACAGGGTTCACAGACTTTTCTCAGTCCTTGGATTTGTAGGAATAACACGCTTTTTAGAAATATCACTTTTTGGCATTTTTAACCTTCATTGGCTAGTGGACAGAGGGAGGTGTCCGACATGCAATAGAGGTTCATGTTGGCATTGTGGCTATACTATGGTCAGAAATATGTGTCACTAGAACCTGAATATGAATGATTTATATTTGAATTAACTTGAATAGTTGGATTTAAAACTGAATCTGCATTGCTCGATGTGTGTCTCAACAAACTGAAATTAAAATCAAAGAACTGAACTTGAATAATGATTGTAATTGTAATTAACTGTAAAACTCATATTCATGGACATATTGTATCACCTTTATACAATCCCTGTAAAGAAAGGGGTCGAATATCCTTTAAACAATATGAGTCGGCTGGCACACTGTAGGGGCTGCACAGTGTTCTCCCTGTGTCAGCGTGGGTTCTCTACGGGTTCTCTGGCTTCCTCCCACAGTCCAATAACATGCAGCTTCGGTTAACTGTTGACTCTCAGCTGCCTGTAGGTGTGAATGGGTATCTTTCTCTTTGTGTCAGCCCTGTGATCGTCTGTTGTCCTGTCCAGGATGAACCCGGCCTTCACCCAATGTCAGCTGGGATCGGCTCACAAGAGGAGAAGTGACATAAATGCTGAGCGCCTTAATTGTGGTAATGAAATGACATCAGAGCAGCATCTAGTGTACTGCAGGGGTACTGCAACTCTAACTGAATCCAGACAGTGTCACGTATGTGGAAAAGAAGAATACAGGTACAGATCAAATATGTCTGTATGACTAAATATATGCATTCCACATTCCATCAGGAGCCTGTTCTCACTTCAGTTTGTAGACCTACACGGACCCTATTTGGACAGATTGGATCATGTTGGTCTGTGTGTTGGTCTAGAGTGTGATGGTGTGTGCTTCGGGTTAAAGTGAGAGAGGCGAGTGCGCTGTGTGGATTCTGCTGTAGGGCAGAGTTGTTGCATGGTTGTTGTGTGAATGGCCATATTGTCAACAATATTAGCCTTAGTGATGTGTGTGCAAGGTGTGTTTAGTAAATTGCCCTGGCTTGAATCCATTAAATCTTGTACATTGCATGTTAAGTCTGTGTAAGACTTCAGGATGACACTGGAGATTGCCACCAGGTGCCCCCCCCCCCCCCCCCCCCCCCCCCCCCAACGCAGGTGCACGCACACACCGATGCTGCTCCAGGCTTACCTGCGGGTGATGGATGAGGTAGGCGATGGCCCATTTGAGCACGGTGGTGGTGGTTTCCACTCCGGCACCAAAGATGTCCCCCACAGTCATGAGGAGGTGGTCGTCGCTCAGGCCCACGGACTCCGCGCTGAACTCTGCCGTGTTGTTGTTCTCAGCGCTGCGTTTGGCTCTCAGCAGAGCGTCCAGTAGGTCCCTCTGCACATGATCACTGTAGTCTGCCTGAGGGGGGTACAGCACACACACTCATAGTGTACAGTATATTGTATCTGATGGGGTAGCATTTAGCAGATAGAGCTTCACTTAAACTGGCTGTCACAGTGAAACATGACAGTTATCAATGCATCACATTAATGATCATTAGAATAAGTATGTTGAGATAGATTGGTTGACTGGGTTGCTGATCACGATGGCCATATTTCCTATCCAGCACTTTCACTTAAAGGTGATGGATATGATGCTGTTTGATTGTTGAGTAGAGCTGGATAGAGCTCCAGGATTTGAGTTGTAATCCCTTTCACTCCACTGTCCGTCTGTCCGTCTGTATGCATTTTGCCTCAGACTGTCAGTCGGATTAATCAATCTGTACACAACTTTGTGCAATGCAATGCAACAAAGAAATGGTCTCAACACTTTAAAATCATTTTCCAGGAAGTTTCCTGGAAAAAAATAATAATGCTCTGATACATTATCCACTCATTTATTTGAGTTTTTAAAAAGGAGCCGGGTAATGAGATGCAACAGCTGTTATATAGCTGGATAGAGTTCATAAGCAACGGTTGATTTCCAGAAATTCCCTTGAAAAAATTCTGATATCAAACCTAAATCACAGACTGACAGATATTTGCTTTGTTATTGGAAACCTTATCCTCCATGTTCCTGAATTGTCTGCTAGCCCGTAATTATACGACCATTGCTCAGAAAGACAAGTTTACCAGTTCTTCATATTCAGCCAACCTGTTGTGTAAACTGACTACAACTTTGTGTGTCTAACTTAGGCAAAACAAGTTCCACAGTTATTTCCAGGACCTTCCCTTCGAGATCGTAGTTACAGGTTGTGGTAAGTTGCCAGCTACACTCTATCCCCCTTCAGGGTGCAATGTGTCGGGCCACAAATAAGTTTATTACATTCAAGAAATGAACGAACATCATCAACAGAATGTGAAGAGGTGACAGTATTGAGGTTGTGTTGCAGAGCTATCTCCTGAAATGAGCATGCTAACCAGCTAGCCCGTCTTGTCTTGAGATAGTGAGTCACTGCAGCATCCAGTCTTTCTCAGCCCAACATGAGAGGACGAAGAAGAAGAGCTGCCCCAAGGGCTTGTCGATCACATCGAGGGTATGTGGTCCGTGTGAGTTTTGATGTTTTGTTTTTTTGGATTAAACCCAAAGTGGCAGAAACAAGGAGTGTAAGTTTAGATTGTCTGGACCCAGAAGTAGAGGTGACACGCTGACCCCTATTTCTATTAGAGCATGTGGCCAGGAACTACACATTTATTTACATATTACATATTATTAGTAAGAGGCCAACTGTACCTTGTGTTCATCATATTTCTTCTGCAGAAGTTGGTCTCTGGTTGAAACACACTGTTTTAGGAGCTGCAGGTCCGCATTAGGAAAGATCTGTAACAAAGAGAAACACGTCAATGTGGTATATTATATAAGTATATATATTTTCTGTAGACATACATTATAATACAAATATGACAGGATAACAGATTCTCTAAAAACAGTAAACTGTACAAGTCATTCTCTTGTTCTCCCATTCTTCCTATTAGTTGGGCGGTTGTATTATAATTAAATGTCCCCTTTTGCTTCAACGTTAAAGGTGTTAAGAACACTTTTTTATCATTAATAAATAGACTACATATTAATCAGTATAACTGCTTTTCACACTGGCAGGCACTCGCTAGTCCACAACAACAGGAGAGGACTGTTCCTCCAGCACAAGAGCTGCATGACCCATCGGAAAATGGGATTTATGGGAAATGTGGTCTTATAGTGTTAAGACAGCGGCTAGTTAGCACCTTTACTGTTACACAGCAAACATTGATAGTAATGAATTATTAATAACACTATTTAAACACATTCATGTAATTGTATTGCTATGGCTTCTTGTTTCATGCCCTCATGTTCACGTCTACCTGTAACCAGGGGAAGATGTCCACCAGGCTGTCCTTTGCCACGGTGTCCACGATGCCCTGGCTGTAGCGCAGCATGGCCTCGAACTCCTGGTCCCCTCGGCGGTAGGAGGAGTTGAAGCAGAGCGAACAGATGACGTTAGTGACGGCCCGAGTCAGCTCTGGAGACAGATCCAGGGCCAGTCCAGCAGCCGCTGCCTCGGACAGGACGGAGCACAGAGACTGGGCCTCTGAATGGACTGAGCACAACACGGGCAACAGACCGTCGTCACTCACTGACATGTTTCCAATGCTTACTCTCTAAAAGAATGATCAAAATGTTAACTTATTTATATATGTTCACTGTATATTGTGTCTGTGCATCTTCTATTCACCTCCATTGTATCCAAAACCTATTCAAAACACATCAATGACCCAAACTGTTGCACTGGGGGACATATTGCATGAACACATACGGTGCAGTTCATTCTATTTAATTCAATTCCATTCAATGTAACTTTATTGGCATGAAAGTTTCAGAAAAACAATGTTGCCAAAGCATAAAAATACAAAAGTACACAATAATATTATTATGAATATGAATATGAACACAACATTACGTTGTATAATAATGATAAATACAGTATTACAATTACATTTCAACAAACATGTGTGCGTGTGAGTGTTGTGACATGTTGATACATATTGGGCAGCAAGATCGGCCTTGTCTGTATTTCAATCATTAAACTCTTTGAAGTCTAGGATTACAGAGTTGAATTTGTTGAAGTAAATGTTCTTTATTTCATTCTTTTAGGAGGACGTAGATCAGCCTCAACAGGTCCAGTTGGTGCCACTGAGCCTGTACTTGGTGAGGATCTGTCTCTGCTGTCTGTCTCTGACAGTAGAGACATATTCTGACTGTTCATCATCTCTTTTTAGTTCCAGATAACATCCTGATCTTTGGCTCTATGTTTCTTCTTTCCAGTGTTCTAAATAGTTTTCTTTACATCATGTTATAATTCTCAATCAATACAGACACCGTCCTGTATAAAAAAAAAAGAAAAGAAATATTTTGTTGGCCCAGCATTAACACATTGCACTTCTTCATGTCGGTAGTTTTCCCCTTTAACGTGAAACCTTTGGGTTTAGGATTATTACAAGGACAAAAGAAGCTATTTGAATATGTCAGCTTGGGTATTTTCAATGAAATGAATCCCTTGTTGCTGCATTACTGCTCATGAGCATTTGTCTCTTTGTTATTTTAGTGATGCTCCCACATTTCTATTGGATCTTTCTGGAGGAATCTGGGTTCTTCCACTTTTACGCTTTCACGGAGATGTTTCTTAACAGATAGATGACAGAACGATATGAAGCATCTTGCACACTTATTTAAGGATTTATGCATTAAGAGTTATTTAAAATGTTGTCAACTTCACTACATTTATTTCCAGTTTAAGCTTTAATGTTTCCTAGTTCTCGTTTACATTATTACAATACAAGACATTACAATAAGTACCATACTGTACAAAGTGAAATAATGCAAAATATGCACAACTGTAAAGTGCTGATGACAAGAGCAAAAGTTAAAGGCTCAGTACAGCCAAATAATAAACAACTTTGATTTATTACATTTGTTTTGGTAGAAGTAGATTATCCAGAGTAACTGTCTCAAGGCAGAGTTGTCAGGTGCGTTTACAGTCTATCATAACCCTCCTGTCAGAGGAGTGTAGAGGGAATTGTACTCACTGATCTTCTCAATGGAGGCAGAGCCCTCTCCAAACATGCACAGAGCTCCGTGGACTATCTTCCTGTGGAATCTCCACGTGGTGCTGTAGTCTCCAAATGCGATGTCTTTCCCATCTCTGGTCAGAACATCTGTGGTTACCTTCATCACACATAGACAAAATATACATGACTACTGGTGCTGCTGCTGACAAGAAGAAGAAGAAGAAGAAGAAGAAGAAGAAGAAGAAGAAGAAGTGTACCCACAGTTCTGGGTCTTCCTGCAAATATCTTTCCCTTCTTCAGCAGGACTTGCTTAGCGTGCGCGTGCTGGTTGACAACGATGACACAGTGGGAGCCCATCATCAGAGAGTACGTCGGTCCGTATTTCCCCTGCAGTTCTTTGAAGAGCACATGAGGAGGGTGCGGGCTCCACAAACTCAGCAGACTGCCGATGAGTGGGAGTGCTGGGAGGTGGGGGGGCTCCCGGGGGCCATGCGCCAACACCCTGAGCTTCAACTGCAGTGCCAACAAAGCCAGGCCCACGGCCAGAAACACACACAGACACAGAAACCAAGTCATATCCATTGCAAAGGGGTCCTGAGAGAGGGGTCTGATCCAGCGGAGGCCGAGCAGAGAGGAGCTCTGCAGGGCCCTACATTTATACAGCTCCTTCAATGCCAAATCCTTGAATCGGCATGTTTAAGGCTGGGCCAATTCAAACAAGATAAGATGATTCATTGAATCCTTGCCATAACGACACAAAGAAATGGACATGGTGAAAGTCAGAAGTGTTGGAAAGTAACTGAGTGCATTACTGTATTGAAGTACAGTTTTGAGATACTACATTTTCTGAAACTTAACATTTCCACCCCAATGCCATTACTCTGACAGTTATTGCTCATTTTGCAGATAAACATTATACACAAAATATACATTCCGTTTATAAAAAATGATACACTGGTATACATTAAGCAGCTTATAAAGTAACATACAAAAACAACACAGTAATATAATTATACAATTATGCAACACCAAGGGGCAATCTTGAGTCCTTCACTTATGAAAGCAAATGACATTTGACTGATAACACCTCTGTATTTGTAGACTACTTAAAGTAAAATGTTGACTCCAGCAGTTTAGTACTTTACATAAGGAGTCAAACTGTGACGGTTTACAGGGATCTTGATATTTATCATTTGATTATCACATGCATTTGCATGTGATAATGAAGTACAAATCACTTTTAATTCATTTATTGACTACTAATTACCAAAAATCGCAGTTCTGTCTCTCTGTTTGCGCCAATTTGTACGCGTTAAAAATGTTGAATTATGTGACACATCTGTAAAGGGGGACGCGTTGCTATGAATTTTGACCCTGGCGACGCACCATCCATCACTAACCAAAACAGAAAACAGAAAATGGCGTCAGCTGAGTCCCAGCCGCGGTTTGGCCAGTCTGTCAAAGGGCTCTTATCCGATAAAGTGGGCTCCTGTAGCGGGGACGTGATCGCGCTGACCCGCCAAGTGCTGAAGGGATCTCGCAGTCAGGAGGTAAAACGAGACGAGTGACAAATATGATGCTCGCTTCTAGCTAACGCCATAGGGCTAACACGGAGAGGACAAACGGAAACGTAATTTCGACTTCAAAATAAAAGCATGAACGGATTTTTGGACAGACAAAACGATCAATCTATTCATGGAGAAAAATAATATCAGCTTTTATTGGTCATGAATCAAAGCCCTAAATGCCTCATTGTCGCTAATGTCTCTTCCAGCTTCTTGGTCAAGCAGCAAGAAATATGGTGATTCAGGAGGATGCCATCCTGCACTCTGAGGATGTAAGTATATATATATATATATATATATATATATATATATACAGTGTGTATATGTATTTAATATATATCGAGGGATCACACCCGAGTTATATAGCATGCCATGGGGGGGACAACATACTGGAAACTCTTTTTAGAAACTAAAGTAAATGAACACTCCTAAGAGTGTCCCAACGAAATGAGTCCAGTCCATCATACAACAAAATAAAGTAGTGTATTAAGAAGTTATCTGCCCTTGTTTGCGTGCTCCAAAATGACACAATTCAACACTGTTGCCATCTGTCTTCCAGAGTCTGAGAAAAATGTCCATTATCACCACACATCTGCAATACCAGTGAGTATCAATCAGCTGTCTACAAACACATGCAACTTCAAATTGGAAGTGAATGTTAAGAGAGTCTGTCTGTCTGTCTGTCTGTCTGTCCATCTGTCCGTCTGTCCGTCACTAAGGCAGGAGGCCATCCAGAAGAAGTAAGTCTCAACACCACACTCTGTTTATCCTTCAGAGTAAACAGCTGACATCACTGTCTCACTGTCTCACCGGTTAGTCATAACACACACCGATGACGTGCACTGACTTCTGTTCCATCCTCCAGCGTGGAGCACTCCAAAAACCTGCAGGACCAGCTGAGACACCTGCTGAAGTGACGGAGCAGCATTAGGACGCGGGAGGGACTAACGTCGGATGAGACGCCATGTTTCTGCTTCCTAACACACAGTAGTGCATCTGGGAACGTCATGCACTAGTGTATCAAACGCAAACACAGTTCCTGTGCTTAAAGGTGTTCTAAACGGGATTCAGAGCACTAACATAGAGGCAAACTACTATTATCTATGTAGAGACATAGAGCAGTAATGTGTATGAGCAGAGAGTGTTGTCAACAGAGCTTCCTCTGTGCCCACACGCCCCGTTAATGGCCGCCCCTCTGGGCTGCTCTGATAACGCCGTCCCCGAAGTGTAGCGCTACATCAGGATTTATTTGGCAGAGGCCTTTTCATAATCCATTTATTGCATTAACTCTTCTTCGGCAAAGTCAAAAAACAAACCTTCTTTTTGAAGAAGATGGATCAAATCCTGCTGGTTCCATTCGGCTTTATGTGCATACAAACATGTGAATGGAAGCCAGGCTTATCATAGATGTGCTCTGGATTTCTCATTTAGCCCCTTTAGAGTTACCCTGCAAAACAAGCACCTCTGACCATGTTGTTCTTGAGTCATTTTAAATGTTTTGACCAGTTGTATTACATTAATATATTCAATATATTCTCTGTAAGATCACAGAGCACACAGGTGCCCTGCTGTGCCTCAGTGTCTCGAGTTGTGTAGTAGTAGTGTGGTTCGCTGTAAATACATGTACAGAATTAAACAAGATGAAATGTCACCACTCTCGGTTCAGCTCAAGTGATTTATTGGGGAAGGTTTAGTCAGGGACACGTGTGTTCAAGGATGGAGCGGACGCTGGCAGTGAGCAGTGTGGGGGGGCATCTCAAGACAAGCACTTGTTAACCCACATGCTGTCTATACGTTGTGCTTAGCAAATATACCTACTTATAAACACATGGATTGCTCCTCTAACTTTTACAATCTTCATTCTGTGAACGCTGACACTACAGGCCAGAAACATTCGGGCTATTCTTCTTGCTTAATGTCTTCTGTGAGACTAGTGGACAGAAGGAGGTCCAACATGCACATTCAGATATTTACTACCCTTTGACTTGTCATGTCATGCACAATGTATTGAACCTGATCTCGATAAACTACGTGAAATAACCACAACAAATAAGTTTCGACACAAAGACGTGTAAGCAGTGCGCCACCCAAACGTGTGCCAGTCAGCAGAAAATGCGAAGTGCTGGAAGGTCTACAGTAAAAGAATATTGTCTCCACACAGACGAGCCTTTCTTTGGCTGCATCCTCCGCTCCGAGCCGCGATAAGGAGCAAAGAGACGACGTTATCAGCAGCCCGAGGCCAGACAGCTGCTCCATCCCGACAGTGTCCCTGAGGACACGCCGCCGAGTCTTGGACCTCTTGGCGCTGCACGTGTTCCACACCACATGTGTGTCGAGTGCGGTGATGAGGATGAGCCGGTGTTTATTGTTTATTCAGCTGACGCCTTGGCGGATGCTAATCTCCCCGGGGTCAACGGAAAGGAGACGACATAATATAGAGTACATGACGTCAGACACACACTTAAGACAGGCTTGGATGTGTAGTTTCAGGACCGAGCGTATACATTATGTATCCATAACTTCTTCAAAGAAGGATCAGTCATAAGCATTGAATGTGTTGTAACTCTGTAATGTTGTTCATTCTGTGCTCATGACATCTATCACGTCTGTCCATCCTGAGAGAGGACCCTCCTCTGTTGCTCTCTCTCAGGTCTCCTCCTCTTTTCTCCGTTAAAGGCTTCTCCTGTTCCGATGTGAGGGTCCTGGGACAGAGGATGTTGTACAGATTGTAAAGCCCTCTGAGGAGAATTAGTGATTTGTGATTTTGGGCTCTACAACAATAAATTGAATTGAATTGAACCGAGTGGTCGGTGGCCTTAAGTGAGCCTTTGTTTCTTTAAATGACAGTTGTTACCTGTATAAGCTATTTGAGGAGGTGGTGAGTAACGAGCCTTTATTTAACGGTAGATTACTGCGTTTGAGAAAGATTGTTCTTGGAGTTGGAGGTATAAAGTGATTTTACAGACATTTCTGAATATGAGGTTCAACATTATTCTTAACTCTGGAAAAAGCAACTGAGAGAACAATCTCAGCTGGACTTCTCAGGTTGACTTCCATTGAGAGTTACACAGACATCATGTTCCTCTGGTCTGTGCTTCACATCTTTAACATTTTCTTTTATTGTTTTTATTCCGTTCTTTTGCAGCATTAGTTCTTCATTTCATCTTTTAAATAGTTTTTTATATTATATTTCTGATTCCCTTTAGTGTAATGTCTTCTGTGTGCTAAATGAAGTTGTTATTAATGTTATGGTGATGTTGATACCTCTCCCTCCACCTTACAAACCTTTGTCTCACAGTGCAATGAGCTTCATCACAGCTCTTATATTCCTCCTTCATCATTCTTCAAACAACAGAAGGGATATTCTTTGACACTATATCTCTTCATCTTTGTGCCCAGCTGGTGTCTGCTGAGCTGACAGTGACAGTCCTGCGTGCTGCCAGGCCATCTTCAGCTCCCTTCATTAAACCTTGAGTCTAGATGATGTTGTCCCCCTGCGAGAGCACGTGGTCTTATCAGAGGATTGCGAGGATACAGGTCCAGGGACAGCGGCTCATCAGGGAACGCCTCACATCTTCCGCCTCTGAAAAATGGTTTCACCTCAGGACTTCAAGACTAAACCTTGTGTTTGTGCTGGCTGCTCGGGCTAATACTTACAGATACCACAGGCACTTCTACAAATGTGAGATAGATTATTTTCCTATGTGAGTTTATACATTTGCTGATCCCAGCATCTGCTGAGACAACATTTCATCTACAGGCATGGTACCACCATGAAGTGTGAGGAAGGTGCTGTTCCACAACCGGCCTCCAGAGCAGCTTCACTGCTCCTTGTTAGAGAGGTGTGTGGACCAGAGGGATGGACGGCAGGACAGACAGACTTGCTTTAATAACCCTTGTGTCGTCTTAAGGGCCAGAAATGACCCGCCACTATATTCAACAGCAGACAAAAACCTCTAAATTATCCTTTTTTTTAAGCACCTAAAACCATTAACACAAAAAAACCCCACACAAAAGACAAACACTTCTCATTGTTTGCTAATGGTGAATAATAGAAGTGCTGCAGATCACAGTCCCTCCAGGTGTCTCTGCTGAAGCCATGAGTGGACGTCAGTGACCAACATGTTGCAGACCGGATGTGTTCAGATATTTCTAAAGGACCGTAAAGTACTTCTGTACATGTGAGACTTGTCACACACACTGTCCTACACGCGCTGATTACTGTTGGAACATTCATGGGTCGCACTTTCTATGACACCAATGTCTAATATGCATCATAAACATATTTGTGTTATAATCTGTTTGGCACTGTATAATTGTAGTTTTAAGCATTCATGAATGTTCATAATGCGACATGCGACTAGCAGAGCCGGAGATTGAACCGCCGACCCTCTGATTGAAAGACGGCCCTGCTGTCCACTTAGCCACAGTCGTCCCTTGATATACCTTGATGATCATACAGTGCTATAAGCAGATCCTGATTAGTCTTTATAATGCATTGTAGGCAGAAAGGGCTACAGGTGCTCACGGTCCGTGCACAAAGTATAATTCATTTTCCATTGTTGACGTTGTATAATGACCAATGTCAGTTTAGGGTTATTAATAATCTCGTTGGACTACTTGTGTTCATGTAAATGTGTCTGCTACGTGTGAGGTCGTTGTTCACAGCCGATGCTGCCTCAACGTTAACGCTGTGTCGGTGTTATTGTCACATGAACACGTGCAGTGCACTGCTGTAGAGACGTGTGATGAGTCTGACTGTAGGAAGAGTTGATGTACTCTGAACAGTGACTTTAATGCTGGCTCTGTTGTCGTGACAATAACTCCACTAAGCTATTCAGTGTAAAATCCTTCAAGTTCATTTACTGTTCGCACTTTTAATTATGCTGCATAGAATATAATAAATGAATAAAAATCATTTTGCAGGATTATCCTCTGGCCTGTCTGAACTCATTTAATCCAGCGCTACATACTGAGCACATTACGTCATCGCAATAAACACTGGTCACTAGCCTTTCTTTAGCCTTTTTAATACGACAGTCTCCTACAACAACACAGGTCTGTATTACAATGCTTATTAACAATAGTAATAACATAAAATACTGTCACTCTTCAAATTGCTTAACATTAAACAAACTACAGAGGTTTTCTACCTGTGAGTGCTGCTCATTGGCATCATGGTAACATGGGTTTCAGGCGAGCCAATCAGCTCCTTCTCATCTAAAAACTCTATTTCAGACTCTTTTGTCATCTATTATCAAGTAGGACTAGTTCGGACACACTGTACACATGAAAAGCATAATTAAGTTGTGCAATAACTTTATGAGAGAAAAATCTGATCTGCTGGTTATGACCTCAGTATTTGTCCTCAAATGCATGTGTCAAAGCTTGTCAAAGTCAAAGTTTCATGCTTTATAGTCATTTAAAATGGTCCATACACTGTAGTTAATAAACAGGTTGTGGGTTTTATTAACAACTTTGAATGAACACTGAAATGCTCCAGAACAAACTGACATCTTCAAATGATTCACTTGTGGTGGATTCAGATGTTTTAACGAGTACTTATACCACTATGTAAAAAAAACTCTAGTCCCACATTGGAAATATGGCCCCTCACAGTCGCTATCAATTCCAACAGGCCGGCCACAGCAACAGTCCCGTCCTGGCTCATTGGAGTCCTGCATTTTGGGCCGGCTTCACTTCTTGTGAGCAGGTCTGCAATACATTCTTGTTATCCTGCGAAGTTGCGGCAGCACCAGCAGTGGGCCTTCCATCTCAGCTGTAATGACATTAACACACAAAGATGACACATTTCTTTTGAACTGATGAAACAGACACTGTGTTTGGGATTCACCATCACAGCAACACATATACTGTAGGACAGAACTAGAATTATAACCCAAAGCACACAGCTGCATAGAATTCCAGAGGCAATACTGTGAATACAATGACATTTTATCACAACAACATTTAAACTAATCTACAATCTAGGGTCATGTCAGACTGTGGGTGAACAGGTACAGTCCTGTTAACAGTTATCTGAACAGTCTTCCGTCTGTAACTCATCCACAAATGCCACCTTGAACAAGAATTGTAAAACTTCAGTATTTTTACAAGGAAATATTAACAATATCTTCCACTACTACTACAATAGTACTGTAATGGTGTCTTGTATCTTGTTCTCTTTAAGATGCAACATGTATAAGATGCTGTAGGGCATCCTGCAATGGCCCAAACAACACTGACAGATCTCCAAAAGCCTCTGAGAAACGTCTTCCTGCCTGCTCTCTCTCCTCTTCAGAAGCAAAAGGATCAGTCCCAATAGCTGATACTCTGGTACGACGCAGAGAGAGGCTCATCCTTGACCAGTCAGCAGCTTCAGTGGCACAAGGTAGCACATCCTCAGTCATATTGACTGGACATCTTCCTGAAGCCAACACATTGGGAATTCCTCCGCCTGAAATCTGTTAAAAGTACATAACACGGTTACTGTCACAAAGCAAAGAATGGAGAACTGAGCTAGACATCGGGAACAGGTAACTTGTAAAACTGAGGTAGCCATAACACAATTCTGTAATGAAATTGTACATTGTAGTCCTGAGCATGTGTACATATAAAAACAACAACAATGCTTTCATGGCATTCCTGAACATACAAATTTCTCTTCTTTCTTCAATTCGGTCTCTCCATCGTCTCGACTATTCGGTCTCTCCATCGGTCTGAACCCTCAGAGATTTATCACACTTCACGTGGTAAATGGTTGAGTTAAAGAGGCTGTAATGTTATGCCATATATTATGTATAATTTATGGTTTTATTTTCATGGTTTTTATTTTGTGATTTTAAAGTCTTCCAGGCTTTTGTCTCACGAGGTGAGAGGTCATTGTCAAATTGACTCGTATTTAAACTGTGTAAAATCTGAAGCCAATGTCAAATATGCAAACATTTATTGCATGTTGGCAGACTTAAATAAAACGTCATCTCTGAATATAAATTGACACTTAAATATACTCTTCTTAAAACAAACAGTCTACAAACAATCTATTTCCAAAACCTTACTGTTTTCACAGGCTGAGGAACAACGTTACTGTGTCTGTGAGCAAACCATGTGTGTGTATGTATGTATGTAAGTGTGTGTGTAGGTATTGGGTGTATGTATAAATATGGTTTTGTTTTTTTTAAACCAATGCTTGATGTTTATTTATTTATATTTTTTTTGTCTCTTTCTTCTTTTATATTTCATTTAAATGTAAAGCGTTTTGAGTTTCAGCTCTTATATAAAGCTGCCTTAGCGCCCCAAAAAGGTTCCTCTGGTTGTTCACTGGCAACAAATATAACTGATTAATTTCTCAGATTATCAACAAGCCTGTGATGGCACAATATTAGACCCTGAAGTGTAAAAGAACAGATGATGAAGTATTACATTTGGCTCCATCTGGTGGCTGAGTCATACATGGACACGCCCATCTCACCATAGTAGAAGAAGAATGAGGAAAATATAAAAGGTGAAGAGGA